AGATAAAATTTGCATTTTACGGATGTTACAAATATTTTGGGATTTCAAAATAATGTACTAAAACCTAAAAAGTAATAAGTTCAAATCTGGAACAAATATAAATATCATAATGATTTCTTATAATACAATTTCTAATTTAATTTTCCAAGATATTAAAGATCATAATGCAAAAAAACTAAATTTATGAAAAGTAACAGGCTTAATGTTTCTTAAACTACGTGTATTTATGAAAGTTCTTATGAAGTTTCAAGCAGTTTCATCCACTAGTTTTATTGTTGGAATGAAATATAGCAAGACTTGCACTGGCTACTCAGAAAGTTAGTAGCTGGTAGTCATCGGGTTAAATAGTTTTGTATGAAGTTGGATTATTTTTAATAGTGTTGGGAGAATTATAAGTGACAAAATAATTTTACAGTAGGATTCTCTCTCTGGTTTTATGCTTTGTGCTGTAGTTCAAGCAGGGTTGCTTCTTGTTTTTGTGTGTTCTCATTTGTTTGTTGTTTTTAAATAAAGTTTTATTAGTTTTCAGAGATAAGCATTTTTTATGAATGGGATATTGTAAATCTTTCAAAATGAATATGATATTTTGAATTTCTTGATTTAATTTTGAAGGATAGCATATTCTGTAAACTCTAAGAAACTTAAGAGGCTGCAATAGATGTTTTAACAATTTTATGATGGCATGAAAAATAATTTATGTAACTGAGAGGGATTGTTGGAGTTTGGTGGATAGACAGGACATGTTTTGTACTGGTTCAAGTTAAAAGGATATCCCCTGAAAAAAGGGAGTGGGTTGTTTGTTTCTCATTCAGCTTTTGGTTTTAAAAATAATTTCTGTGACTTGACCGGATGGAGAAAATGTCATCTATGTAACACAGCTATGTAATCTTCATCTTGTTTTTGGTTTTTGATGAGTTGATCAATTTTTATTTTCTTGAAATAATTTGTTTATTTTTCAGAACTGACAAATCTCTGGCTTGAGAGCTATTTTTGCTATATATATATATATATGTTCTCAACATTTTCTGTATGGTGTTTTTCATGAAAATTATATATTTTACATAATGACTATAAGGTGTCACCATGTAGAACTTAAAATTATGATTTGTACCGATCAACTTTTTTCCCAAGACTCTGATTACAGTGATCTAAAACTTTGTTGAACATTGTATGTGTATTTTGTATGCATGCAATTTTATAAGGGAAGTGGCATCATATTAAGTCTAAGAATATGTGAAGTCTCTGATGCTTGTGTTAAAAACTGATTCATTTGTTTTCAGCCACTCGGGTGTCTGGAACTGTGAAATGGTTCAATGTGAAGAATGGATATGGTTTTATCAACAGGTCAGTGAAGAGGATGAAATATTGTGAAAGTAGTAGCTATAAAAATATCATGTTTAGTGTATGTACTGTCCTTTCTTTAATTTACTTTTACAGGTTTTTGTCAATTTATGATCTATTGATGTACTTCAACACTGATACTTGTTATTTTGGAACCTTGTGATTCTACTGACTTGGTGATACCTCTAAAAATTGTATAAAAACTGATGTACTTACATTATAAAGTAGACATGGCATGATGCTAAGTAAGAAATTTCAATTTTTATATATAGTTCTGGGAGTGATTTAAATATTAGAAAGATATAACATGTTAAACAAACCTTAAAAATGAAAAACAATTGTATCAAACTTTCTGAAACGTCAGTGAAAAGTGTATATTAAGTGTTTATAAGACTTACTTTAATTGTTTTAACTTATACCAGGTGATTTTAAAGAAATTTCTCAGTTAAGTGTCATATCTCTCAAATGATATAGCACAGAAAGGTAAAATTACACAAAAGTGTTAAGGGTATAATATAGATACAAAGGTCACAGTTGTAGCATTTTGCTATCAGCAATGCTACTATTGTTTCTTTTGCATATTTCCCATGGGAATAATTGGGCCTATCTATTGCAGCTCAGGTCATTCAAACAACATAAGACTGACAAATGTGTAGGCTTGTGTTTCAAGGTTCAAACATTCCTTTGATAGCTAGGAATTTAAAGATGGTTCTAAACATATGAAGGTTCATCAGGCAGGGATAAAGCAGTGTCCGTTTTTTTCTCTTTTATTTTTAACAGAAACTGTTTGAAATGTTTGAATGCTAATCATACATTAATTGTCACTCTCTGTTGGAAAATCCAATCTTTTAATTTGTATAATGGCCGTTACTTTTAATAAATGTCATTGTATTAAAAAAAAATGAAAACATACACACACACCTTCAAACCATTATACTTAGCAGCTCCTTCCATGCATTGGAGCAGACTATTATGATGCAGACCTCAAAATTAGGACATCAAGTCCACTGTAAAAAAAATTCCACAGTAAATGTACTAATAAAGAAAACACCAGGGCAAATGTCATCAACCATTCTGAAGAGATTTGTTTACTTAAAGATGCACTTAACACATGACAGGGCTACAAGGCAAGCATTCTCACCAATGTAAATGAAAAACCTACTTTGGGTTTTAATACTGACTAGTTGAGGGTACCTGTTAAGGAAGCAAAAATTATATAAATGATAGTGCCAGATAATGTTTCTCATCCTCCTTTTGTTATTAAATCTTTGATGACCTCATTAGATGTTAATTGCATACACTGCTTTGTGGAAGATAATGAGTGACTCATTTAACTGATTAAGTACTTATGTCTTTAAATTCAAAGCCAAAAGTCTGTAAGAAAAATGGAAATGTGCCCTGTTTTAGGGGCTTTTTTTATATACAACTAAACAAAGTGGATGTACACCATTGGACAGTTTACAGTTATCATGAAAACAATTAGAATAATTGAACCAGCCAACTCTGGGTGGTATAAGGCATAATTAAAAAAAAAGTGAAAATTTACCCTATTTCAGGGTTATTTTTTTATCCCCCCTTTCTAACAAAAATTGAAAACAGAATAGCCTGTGTACACCAATGGACAGTTTCCAGTTACCATACCAAAAATTATGGTAACTGAGCAACTAACTGTGACACATACATGTACATATTGGATCATCTTTATAGTAAGATTTAAATATCTTTGGAGATATCAAAGTTATAGGCAGCTTTCCAAGTTATACCTGAAGCATAAACTTTTTCCTGTTTTTCTCATGTGATATTCAACTTTTACAAAAGTCAAAAGCAAATGATACTTTTATATAATGCTAGCAAAATGTAACAAAAGACTCCTAACATCAGTATTCTTTATTCTTCAAACAACATAAAATGAATTTATCTTTTCTGTTATATTTAAATATAAAAACATGATTACTGTTTTATATAATGTATTTTCAAACTACACGTAGATGTTTTATTTCACTTGTATGTATTATCTTTAAAATTAAAAGGTTTTCGATAAAATAGTAGTTATGGTAATTTCTTGAGTAACTTATATAATTTAGTACTGCTAGCAGAAACACCACCCTACAGCCAGGTATTTTTTAGCATATTTACTAATTGTAGTATTCATACCTCATTGAAAAGAATTTAGAAAAAGTTAACATTTAAAAAAAAAGGATTTTCCTGGGAAGTACTGCACGGAACAATTGTTCAGATTATGCTGATATAAACTGGAATGTTTTTATATATTAACCCATTCACTGTGGCTGGGATGTATATTTCCCACTGCACTGTGAAATATATATCCCAGCTGCAGTGAAAGGGTTAAAAGTGGTACCCTTTATTGAAAAGATATGTTTTTTAAAAAACTTCATGTTTTTAGTATTATTATTATAAATTACATCAATAAAAATAGAATCAAATCCTCATGTACAGTCTTATTGAAAGTTGTGAGGAGAGAACTTTTATTGAAAATTGTGTTCTGTGATAAAGAAATGGTAGTTGCACATACTGTAGTTATTTTTCTAATTATCTGAATATTGAATATCCAATATGTGAAAATGTTTTATGGATTTTTGTATATGATGGCATTCAATAGATGGCATGACATTGTATTTATTATTTCAGTCACATAGATAGATAGATAGATACATATATACACCCTACACCCATTATAGTAAGATTGGAGGTTTGAACCCTTATTCAGAGATGTTTCAAACCTGTAAAGATCAAAATTTACCTTTTAATCCTAAAAGTGTGCAGAGAAGTGAACTTGCATATTTTATTACACCAGAGTATGAAATGCCAAGGCAGCTCTTAGGAAATTCCATAAAGTGCATTATATCCACAGAGGGCACTGTTGATGTGCACAAGTTCATAACAAAATTTGAGGAGGTAGGTTACACTTGTGAGAAACCACATACAAGCAGACCAGTGACTCCTACTGAAACTATCACAGAGGTCAGCCAGCATAAGTACATGTTTTGCCACCTTGTTTCTGGATTTGTCAGTTTCAGCTGTTCGTAAGGCTGTTTAGTTAACTTTTTTGAATGTTTCTTTACAAACTTCATCATGTTCAAGCAATGAAGGAGATGGTTTTAACCTTATGTGTTGATTTTGCATGCAGTTCTTGGCAAGATTAAAAGTCATTGATCAATGTCCTGCCATTATCTTATAGACTGATGAAGCACAATTCACTCTTTCTAGAAGTTTCAACATGTGCAGCTGCATTATCTGGTCAGAACTTAATCCACATATAATGTTTCCTATACACCTCCATGATGCTAAGGTGACAATGTGGTGTGGTTTCACAGCTGACTTTGTTATTGAGATGTACTTTTTTGAGGAGCCATCAGCACATGGACTGCGAATCTGCATAATCAATGCCGCATGGTACCATGCAATTCTCACAGTCGACGTGATTCCTATGATGGAGCAAAGAAATGTAGTAAACACTATGATTTTCATGCAGAATGGTGCCCCTCCACTTATTGGTAACCAGATGAAACATGTCTTAAGGGAGCAATTTTACAACAGAAGCATTTCACGTCACTTTTCTGTGAATGGTCATCTCATTCACTGGACCTATCACCAGCCAGTTTCTGATTGTGAGGGTACCTGAAGTCACGTGTATACTGTAGGAAGCCTTGCACAATATAGACCGTAAGGATGCAATTGTCTAGGATGTAGCCAGCATACAAGATAAGATGCACGTTGTTGCTGTAATGTCAGTTGTTACACGGATGCAATGCTTTCTAGAGTCTGGAGGAGTACATTTTAAACATTTGCAGTGATTGATCAGACATTAGGTCTGGTGGTAACATGTGACAACTATGGCAATTGTATCTTTACAATACCCATAGCAACCTTGCACAATTTCACACACCTGTACTAAAATGTTTGTAAAATATGATACGCTGAACCAAAAGACTTTCTTCATCATCAGTCTTTGCATAAAAGATAGAAAATGTATTGCTTTTATCAGAAAAGTATCACTTATGAAATTTTTAAAACTGTCTGTTAAGGATATTTCCAGGCAAAATATGACACTTAGCAGGGACTTTATATATTGTATGATGAATTGAGATGAAATTAAATAACATAAAATAATTATGTAATAATGAGAAATCCTTATTATTATTTTTTAGGTTAGATACAAATGAAGACATCTTTGTCCACCAGGTGAGTCAAGTTATTACTTGTAAACAGGTTATTCATGTTTTTTCCTTTTTTTTGTTTTGAGATTTATCTGACAGTCAGTGATCAAACCACTTGATCTGTACAACATTATCATGATGATGTATTACAAATACAATAATAATGCTATCTTGGATCTTAATTAATCCAACCAATCCTCCTTCATTTGTTTATTTGCAATACATGAAATATTTCTGTTGATAGTTTTGATAGAAATTAAAGAAAGACCCATATTTACTGTCTTGTGACATACCATAACAAATGGATGTGTTTTGAGCTAACACTATTTTATATATATCTATGTGTGTGTGCCTGGCTGTTCTTGCAATCATATTCTAGCACATAACTGCAGTGCTGTCTACTCTAATAATATTGTTTTTTTTATTTTTAGTATAAAACTAATTGAAAACCTTATTTTTAAAATTAGTTGGTAATTCCAGTAGCTTTTAAATACACCATATAAATGTTGTGTTTAGATTGAGGTTAGCCTAGAGTGACATCATTTTATAGGAACATTGCTTTTGCTCAGATGTATGAAATCTAGGTTATATGATTCGACATATGACAAGTAGTGTACAAACAGTTGACTAGTATGCTATGACGTTCATTTTTGTCTGTACAACAAATACCATTTATTAGGAGAGTGATGTGTTAGAGCCACAAAGTGTGCATAGTCCTAAGTACTGATTTAGATGGATACATTATCATTAACATTGTGTAGTCTTCTCATTTCTTAATGACATACCTTACCTGTTCAAAAGTAAAATGCATCATAAATTGTACTTAAGAAAAGTGATTTCTAATAAAAATATATTCGAAGAGGACAGAGAGCTGATAAATTATATATACACACTATTATCAAAGACATTGGGAAAGCAAATCTTGCCATTCAGATGCTTTTTTTTTTGACACAGTGGGCCCACTTTTGGCATTAGGCATAGCTTAGACTCTTACTAACCCCCTCAGTGGCACAGGAGTATGACTTCGGACTTACAATGCCAGAAATCATGTTTCGATACCCGTGGTGGGTAGAGCATAGGTAGCCCATTGTGTAGCTTTGTGCTTAATTACAAATAAACAAGACTCTTACTATCACTTGACACAAACCATTGGCGCACACACTATGAAATGGTTAACCACTTCACTTGCAAAGCAGCTTCAAGTGTACTGAGATTTCAAGAGCAGATGAAATAAATGTGGATCTCAGTTTTAGTCTGTGTAGGGCTGAATGTGGACATTAAATTAGTCAAACCACTGCTGGACTTTTGTGTGTAGTATGGCATGTTGCTATCATGTTGAAAGAGGTATGATTCTTCTCATAGAATTCCACCAGACTAAGCAGTGTAACTTTGGCCAGAGTATCACATTCTAACAATGTACTCATGGCTTTCATAATTGTTATCAATGAGCCAACTCCAAACCAGATAGCATTGGCTTACATCACTGCATGCATACTACTCCACACCTCTATAACTGAGATTACAGATTTTTATTTAAAGCATTCTCCAATTAAAGTAAAGAAGAATGTTAAAATATGTCAACCAGAATATATCTTCTATATCCAGTGCTGACAAGGTCTTTCCATGATCCAGATCTGGCCATTTGAAGCTGAGAATGAGTAAAGAGATTCCTTACTGTACATGGTAGTTTTTCACTACATCTTGGACACTCGTATCACTGTTAAAGCTGACACCTTGCATTCATAACCATGAAGCTTGGAACCCCCAGTGTATAGTGTATGTGCCAACCTGCACTCTTGAACTTTCATTTAGTTTGTAGATGATTAATTTAAAGCTAGATATATAGTTCATTTCACAAGACATTCAACGTTACATGGACTGAGGAGTGATTGATTTTTGGTGGCAGTGGTGACTGAATACATCCATTCATTTTTAATTTGGTCAGCACACTACCCAAAGTATGAGTAAGCAAATGTTTTGGATACTGATATTACTAATACTGCATCCAATAACCATTTTATTTGTTGGTCTGTGATCCCCTTCCTTGCCTCTTTCAAACTATCTGTGGTATCTGCTAGTCTTTGTAAGCCTAAAAAACTGAGGACTTTGACATTCACCTCCACATTTAGTGGGACTGCATCCGTTACTGTATGCTATCCATATTTCTTTTGATAATATATTGTTTGTACACATTTTGAATCTTTCTTTGATTTTCTGGGAAGTCAGGAGGTAGTCAATCGTTTTTGCTTATTTCTCTGCGATCAGAAAGAATTTTTAAATTCTGAAAGCTGTTCTTGCCTTTTTAAACCATTCTTCACCTATTGCGCACTTCCCAATTCATTTTTGATACATTTTTAAAAATTGCACACAGCAGCCCCACGGATGGGTTTCTCCCTGACCAGGATGTTAAAAATAAAGGGAAAATGTTAGAATACAGCAAACTTACAACAGACACGTATTAGGAATTTTCTTTGTAAAGTTGCATTTGAAATTTTTAACAAACTTTTATTTTTAAAGCTACATGATGTGTGTGTGTGTGTGGTTATAAAAAGGAAAAAAGCATCTTTGACACATTCACTGCCACTGGACGCACCTGTGCATCAACAAAAACATTGAAGCAAATGCATTTTATTGGAGTCAGCCTTTGAAGTCAGTTCTGTTGTGATAGCACTCGTTTGAAGGTCTCTTCTCATAGAAAGTTTGCTTGGTTGTAGATTTTAATGGCAGTGCCGATGATGCTCATGTGCACTGTGGTACAGATTTTAGTTAAATAAGTATATATCTCCATAAATGTTCTATCTGATACTATTTTGTATTAACCCTTTTGAGACGGGTCACGGGTAAAAGGCCATGTCATCTCGTTTGTTGACTCGGATTAAAAACTTTATTGAACTACTATTTCATGAATTTATGTCAATAAGTTTTGTACCAAATTGTATATTATAATTCAAATTTTAGTACTGTATATTACTCAATTTAAAAGCAAATATTAAAAACACAGATAAATACCAGTTTTTGTGTGTCACATGGTAAGTTGAATGCAGCACTGGTTCAAATTAGATGTTTGTGAAGTCAAAATACTAAATCTATAGTTTTGAATGAATTAGGAACTAAAATTAATGATATTGACAAGCTAGAATATAAAACAAGAGCCTCTTTTTAGTTTGCTAAGATATTGCTCATGTAACGCACCCCGCCCACCTCTTTCCATTTTTGGAAATACTCCCTTATATAAACTTACTTTTATATATGACATGAATAACCAATCGGAAGCTCAGAATGTCCACCTAGTGGCTTTCTCAGTCATTTTAATGGACTTGGCATCATTTCTTTCTTTTGAACCAACATTTAAATGAGGTAGTGTGTGCCTTTAGTCTGCTCAAAATTTCATATTTTTTGAGATTAAAATACATTTTAATTACTAAGCTTTATAAATTATGGTGGAATTCTATGGTATTAATGTAGTAATTAATATTAATTTTTGTTATTCAAATGTATACATAAAACCTAAAAAACATCCTCCACGTGCAAAATTTTTAAAGGCTCAGGATCCTAGGTAAAGCAGCAAATGAGTACAAAGGTCAAAACTAGAAGAGATTATTGTTTGCTTTACTTCTATATTTACTGTTCTATGTTTTAGGAAAAATATGTTTGAGAACTTATTTCAAGATAACAGTAATTTATATACGTATATAATGTATAATAATGTGACTGTATTTTACATAATACTAGTCTACTAAAACACAGCAAAGACAAGTTACTTTGCACAGAACAAAGGCCAGTTTTATGTTATTTGATACGGTAACATGAGTGCACGTGAGCCTCATCATTGTGACTTCTGTATTGTTAGCCAGGCATGGCTGAAAGGTCAATATAGTAAAAATAATAAATATATATATAAACGTATAATGTTATTTAGTCTAAACATTTATGTTTTCATGTTATAATTTGTGTTCATTCTAGAATGAAAGAGGCATAATTTATATTTATTTCCTGATTTTCTATGGTGGTTGCAAGATTGGTCAATTCTACCGAACTCATACAGAGATTAATACTGAAATTAACAGATCAAATATAAAGTTTTTTCTTAAGAAATGTTTGATAACTATCTCGAGTTTATAAAGATTTTGCATGTGAAATTTCAGAATTTTCTGATGCACAAAAGTATTTTTAACCTTAAAATAAAAACTACTTTGTAAGATAGATAGGCAAGATGTAAAAAAGAAAAAATAGACATGAATAAACATTGCTTTATAAACCTCAAGAATTAATAAAAAATTTGATATTTTGTGCATGAAAGCATTGTAATGTTTACTGATAATCTGCCGGATTTCTTTAACATTCACTTAATAATTTAAAAGTTATAGCATGAAAACTATAACAAGCACAAAATGGTTACGAGGTCAGTCACAGGGACTGAACCCATGCTGAAAGAGTTAATTATAATAAATGCAAGATAATGCATGTGGGTTATTATAATTTGAATTATAAGTATAATTTGGATGAGAATAACCTTAATTGTGCTATGAAGGAAAGGAGGTCGAGGTTGGTCATAGGGATCGAGCCTGTGCTGAAAAACTTAATAAAATGCTCCTTATCAAAACAAAAAACAATGGCACCTGGCATGGGTATTGATCTCTGAGGCAGCACTGAATGTGTTTAAGAAGTAAAGATAATATTAATGGTATTTTACATAGAAATCATATATGAAATAGTGAAAATAAATGTCATTTCATATGCTAAGTATATAAATCAAGTATTTTCCCTTCTTTGTCACCATTCATTACATACTAAGGTTGATACATCATTATATGTAATAAACAAGTGCTACATTATCTGTTTATCATAATGAATTAATTCTCAACATCTTGCTTGAAAGCAGTGTTTAGCTGCACAAAATTGAATTTTGAACTCGTGCTTATCTCTCTGTATGTTTTTTTTACCCAGATAATGTTAATTGTATTATGTTTACATTGACCCAAAAAGGGCACTTTGTATTGAAATTCACATCCTTTGTGATCACTAAAGTGTCAGTTTTGCTTGAATACCTGTTGGTTTAATCTCATAGTTTTAGTGATTTCAGCTTGTGGTTGAACATTGAAACATTCTAGCACAATAAATCTCTTACAGTAGTGTTTTAAAAAGACAGATTAACTTAAAATATTTTGAATATCAACATGTAGTATGCTTATCATGGTTTATGTGTGTGTCTGTGTATAAATTATCTAAACATAAATAGTTATTGGGAAGGATGATTCTGAAGTGTTAATATTTTCCTCTGGGTTTTTTGTAGACTGCAGTGGTGAAAAATAATCCCAAAAAGTTAGTACGAAGTGTCGGTGATGGAGAAACAGTGGAGTTTGATGTTGTTGCAGGAGAAAAGGCAAGTGCAAGTTCTTATTTTAAAAGCAATTTTTTTGGAAAGACATGGGTTAACTCTCTCAACATGGGCTTGGTCAATTTGACCAACCACATGATCTCTTTGTACTCGTTTAAAGTCTTTATAGATTTAATACCTCGAACTTTCAATATAGTGTGTTTATCTTTATAAAATTTGGCATTCTTTCAGATAATATTATAAGTCTTTCACATACAAAAAAATCATATTTTTAGTGAAGTATTTTTAGTAAAATAAAGATTTGTCCATGAATGTATTGAGTATTTGTTTTGAATAGTCCATGTGAAACGTAATTTTTATGTTATAATTAAAAATATTTTTCCTCATCTCAAAAATCTTAAATTTCCTTTGTGTAATCCCTAAAATCTCTTAAATGCACTTAAACTTTTTTTTCAGTAAAACTTCATAGTTTATCTGTTATTTTCTTTACCCTATCTCAAAACAGGATTGGCCAATTCGAACAACCTCGTAACCACCAAAAAAGTAGCAAAATAAACCTAAATTACCCTTTTTTTCTTTATAGAATGACTTCAAATTGTAACATAAAACTATACTTGTTTATCCTAAGTAGCTTTAAGTTCTTAACAGTATTCATCTATGTACAATTAAATTTTATTGTTTTATTGCCCTTTGAACCGTGTCTAACTACTATCTACGCCATTATAAGTTGTAAATCTCTCAGGGAACCTGCAGTTCACATTATGCTAACGAATTACATTACCCACGAGCTGCTCGCGTGTGTGCCTCATGAAAGATGTTTATTATAATATTATTATTATTTATTTTACATAATCTAATCTTAACAAACCTAAAAGGATCCCTATTTTAAGATTTTAGTTACTTTTATAATTATACATAAAGAATAAACATGAAAAACAAGAAATAAAATATTTAACCGATCTTCTTTTTTCTTGCTGTCAGTTTTCAAAGAGAGTTAACCCTAATTTTTAATACTAATGATTGTAATGCACTTAATAATTTTCGTTTAATTAAATAATGCACCAAAGAATATAGACTAACAACATGCAAAAAGTAGGTAAATTCCCTTACCTCTCAAAATGTTTCTGGGTTTCTAACTATGGGACAAGAGCCATTACAAATTCATTCAAGCTAGTAGTTAACTTTCCCACGGGAACAATGTGGGTACTGTGAATGAAACTGACATCTAACTGTTCAGGACATAATGTTATACAATACGTCATTTGATAGATGAAAACCTTAATTTTCTATTGGCTATAGGTAATATATAATGAAACGTAAGAGAGAACTATCAACAATTCTGAAAGAGAGTATGTGACAGGTGGGTGTGGCAGGAGGGGTCTGATTTTTCTATTTTATAGCTTTGTTACCAAACAAAATTGAAGACTAAAAATTGTTTGTCTGAGCAATAATAATTTCATAGAGAGTAATTTACATTTAATTTCTTTTTCGAGGGATGGTGGATAAAATAGGGATGATGACATGCTAAGAGAAAATGTGTCACGTGGATCACACTAGTGGAAATTCAGGATTTTTTTAGATATTGCCTCGTAGAATTAAGAACTTAAAACTTGTATGCTATTAAAATATGAATTATTAGTTAAGAGTTTATACTCTTCTAATTGGTATAACATAAAACAAAAAGTAGTTTAATAAAATTTTGAATGTAATACACTGAAACCTTGTGTCATGCGCAGTAAAGGATACCCATGGCTATAGGGTTAATTGTGTTTTATACCAGCACATGTCTGTGTTTCTACTATTGGTGTTGTGCACCATTCTTTTGTGATAATAAGAAAAACTTTTTGGTTACAGTTTTTTGTTAGATCTATTCTTATATAAAATTGGAAATTTGTTGTTAAATGAGGTGTGATAAAATTATATAAATTCCAAAGCTGTATGCTTATTTGATTTGTACCTACTAAGTTTTAAATTATGTCTTGTGAATGGTTAATAATACTGTCAAGTTTGCATATTAAAACAATAATAATAAATCTCATTTTGATAATATTTGAGAAATTTTAGTATGATATATAAATTATTTTTAATACATTAACATATTGGTTATGAATTTGATGCAACAAAATTCAGAAATTAACTCTTTTGATCCCCAGAATTCTGAAACTGAGCAAGATTTCAGGTCTTGTAAACACACAGTGATTGAAAATTAACTGTGTACCCTTTCAAAGGTTTCCAGTTTTTTAACTGTCTGTACTTAACCTCTAATGAATGCTTTTAATAAAGTATTAAACCAGGCTTGAGTAACACAGATAGTAAGTATTAAAACACTTAGTAAAACATGCATCTTTTTTTAGTGGATGATGTTTTTTGGAGGTCAGTAATGTAAATGTTTTAGAAATTTCTATGACCTATAAAAGTGATTTAATATAGTAACTTAATGACTTTGCTGTTATATTAAGATGGGTTATGTTATCTTATAATTTAAGTTCCTTGTATGAGTTTGATCTTGTTTATATATCCCACATATTTTGTGTCTATAAATAATGTTTGATGACCATAAATATTCTATCTCTTTTCTTGTGTTTTATATGTTTAATATATATATATAAGAAATTCTATTTTTGGACAATAACTAGTTTCACAGTTAAGAAATGTTGAACTTTGTGTAATATTGTACTAATTGTTGCAAGTTGTGATTTGATTCCTAGAAAGAGTTGTACTATTGACAGTATTTTTTTGGTCATGATTATATAAATTCACAAGCTCAGCAGGATCTGTTATGACAAAAGTTTTCAGATTTGATGGCTCGGATCCAGCAGTTAGGAACCTAAGAGTTAATGTTAGAAACAGAGTAGGGTTGTTTGTAACATCATTTATCAAGAAATTTAGAAAGGTTTTGTTCCTCTAGGGGAATGAAGCTGCTAATGTAACTGGACCTGATGGAACAGCTGTAGAAGGAAGTAAGTATGCTCCTGACCGAAGGCGGTTCTATGGGAGATTTCCTCGAGGTCGTGGTTATGGAAGGAGACCACCACCAAAGGTAAATATTGTATGCGTGGCTTTGTATTTAGGGATGATTTTTTTTTTCCCTCTTGATAACTTGATGTGCAAGAAAGCAAAAATAGTTTTTCTGTATTTGATAAACAATATCCAGAAGTGGTTGTAGTGAGAGCCAAATACAAATACACTGACATACCTTATATACAAGTTTTACCTGTAACATAATCATTTTCATTTAGAATACTTGCAGGCAGTTTAGTGTTTGACTCGTAAAATATTATTAAGCTGTAAATAATAAAATAAACTATAATAATGAGTTTATCTGTTGATAAAATCTATTTTATATTATTTATAGTGACAGACAATGTTGAGCACTGTCATTAAAAACAGTTGTTTAACTGTCTTTCAAAAATGTGATTATAGTCACACTATCACTTAAAATTTATGATATAGTAACTCAATTTGGAAAAGAATATTTCTACATGAGAAAGTGTTGAAAAAAAACTGTTGAAATGTATATAATTTGCTGACAATTATACTTATATATGTATATTGGAAGGTTTTACTCACACTTAAGGAATTCCTGAGTGATTAGAAATGCTAATGGATTTTTCAAACTACTGTTTAACCTTTTCCAGGCGGGTCATGGTTGAAAGGCCAGGTCATCACGTTTGTTGACTCACATTCGAACTGTAGATTATCATTCAAATTTTAGTATTATACCTTTCTTAATTTAGAGGTAAATACGAAAAAAACACGGTTAAACATTAATTATTGTGTGCCACTTGGTATGTTGAATGCAGCACTGGTTCAAATTAGATGTTTGTGATGTCAAAATACTAAGTCTGTAGTTTCTTACAAATTAGGAACTCAAATCACTGATATTGACAAGCTAGTATATAAAATATAAGTATCTTATCTTTTTAATTTGCTAAGATATTGCTCATGTAATAAACACAGTGGCACCCTGCCCACCTCTTTTCATTTTTGGAAATGCTTCTATATATGACATGAATAACCAATTGGAAGCTCAGAATGTCCCCCTAGTGGCTTTCTCAGCCATTTTAATGTCTTTGGATGCCATCTCTTTCTTTTGAACCAAGATTTCAAGGAGGTAGGTTGTGTCTTTTGGTATGCTAAAAATTTAATATTTTTTTAGACTGAAATAGTAAGCTTGATTAGTTAGTAAGTTTGATAAATTATAATGGAATGCTTTGGCATTGATATAGTAATTTATGATTTTTTGGTAATTCAACTGTATATATATATAAAACCTAAAAAATAATTATTTTGTTTTATATTCTCCATGTGCAAAAGTTTAAAAGGCTTAGCAACCTACGTCAAGCAGCAACCGAGTACAAAGGTTGTAACTAGAAGAGATAATCGTTTGTTCTATGTTGTAAGAAAAATAGTTTAAGAACTTGTTTCTAAATAGCAATAATCTATATACATATATAATGT